CACTCAAGGAGAGAGAGGGGAAGCTTAACTTGTGGCAATACTGTGCTAGTAGATCTTTTGTCGGATCCGAGATGTTACCTGAGGGACTGCCTTAGAGCAAAGTCTCCTAGGCATTCAATATTGCCTTTGGAATATATCTTTGATAAGCAAATAATGCCACTGAAGATTGTACATTTAATGGGACCACTCAATTGGTCTTGCAATAAATATTCCATGGAACACTCAGCTGCAGGTGAGCCAGTGCCAGCAAATATCATCTGTGAATGACTCTTACTAGGTAGGACCCGACACGAAAGATCATCCAAAGATTCTAAAGGTCATATATGTAGTGTTGTAAAAGACAACTTGGGAGCCACTCTACCAACAGGATTTGGGATGCTCTCATTAAGACTCAGGAAAGTTCAGCATAAAGTATTTAGTTTTGCACAGGATAAGACTCCCGCTTACCAGTTTCATGTGCATTACAGTTTGTAAGCTTTGGTCACTACATTCTCATATTTCCAAAAAATTTTAGAAGTTTTACGTTACCCTGTATTACCTTACTCAGCTTACTCTGTTTAGCACACTGGACTCCAGTAACATCACGGTGATGGAACTGTAGATGATTCCATAGCAGTCCCATCACTCTTAGTATTTGCTTTAGTAACACAGGGGCTAGAGAGTCTATAGTTCCAGGCTGGTCAGAGATTTTCTAGATTTTCTTTCCAAAGGAGAGTAGAAATAGTAAAGGCATAAGTTAAATTCCTTTTACATCTCAGGTTTCCATGTCACCAATACCATATTCCATGAAAGCAGTCAATAATAAATGTTAACAATATTTTCTTATGAATTCTTATTGTTAGTACATTACTTTGAATGTTAGTTCAAAATAATTCATTAAACTCAGACGTAGCTTTGGAGAATAATTACTTTATAGCTATTATAGGAAATAAAGATGCAATAAGCTTAATATAATTGATAAAGATATGAAGAATGAGCTGTCCTTTTAAGTAGTATATATTCATAAAAACATGTTTTGATTATATTTTTAATTATTTACTCTAAATTATGGTATCTTAAACAGTTTCCAAACTAGTCTGCTACTAGCATTCTCTACTAGTGATATTTTAATTCCATTTTCTCAGTGTTGTTTTCTTTAATAATATACAAATTTTGCTTCATCATCCCAACCGTCTTCACCAGCAGGTTATAAGACTTTCCCACTGGCAAGCTAGCCTAGAGGCAAACATTTACTATAGCTCCCATTTTTGTTTTAATTTTTGATACACAAAGAAAAATGATTTTTATTTTATGTATGCCTGACAGGATTCTATGACTGTTGGTGAAGTTTTTGTGATTTTGGTTTACTCTCTCCCTGGTGAGTGCTGCTGCCACATTTTAACTTGAACTCTTGGTCACCTGATACATGACCTCTCACCCTGTGACCTCATTTCCAATAGGTCTTTAAGCTGGGGGATTCAAGACTGTGGCACAAAGACAGTTACTTAAGGAAGTGGGCCACTGTTTCAGTCAATGTCCTTATATCCCTGACACTTTTCACTAAAATATTTAACCTTCAACACTAGAGGAGATGACGTTACTTTTTATGGTTTGGAGAGTATGACCTTTTCTGTCATAGTGCTTTACTCACTTTCCACTCTGCATGAAAAAAGAATTGTTGTAGGTATTTCAACAAATAAAGGAAAATGATTTAGTGGTTAACTAAAACAAAGACTTTGGTGCAGCTGCTTGAATAACATATTATGATTAAAAAGTAGCATTTTTTTAACCAAGTAGCTTTTACAAATGTAGTCCAGGTCATGTATACCAACAGCTCAGTAATATCTGAATGAATTTTTATATTTACTTTTTTTTTTTTAATACCTTGCAATTAGACCCTTAAAATCATTACAAGTATAATCCTAGAATGTATTAAATCTATACAAAAAGTTATTCTATAACCTTTTAGTGATAAATCAAGATGTTTTAAGTATAGAATACAAGATCTCTGGTGTAGAATCATTGATTTAAGTATTGCTTAAACAAAATGCAAAAATCTTTGTGCTAGATTTCAACCATACCAGATGGAATTTGATATTTTCAAACATTTAACAATATATTTCACATATGCTGAAACATGTTTGCAGCAATCCCACTAGTAAAAGAGCAACAAATATGTGCTGTCATGAGGAAGACCCTGATTTGGGAGCAGACAAGATGCTCCAGGCTGATGGAAGAATGAAACTGCAAAGGTAACATGCTTATACCATGGGGAAACTTCACTACTCACTTCTGTAGCATCCCTGCAGAGTTAGAATATGGAGTTTCACTGTCTCAGCACTGAAAGAAGTCACTCTCACATACTGCAAGCTAGGAGTCAGATAAAAGAATGAAGAATGAAAACTGCTGATAGAGAGTGAGGTACACTAAAAATGTGCTAAGAATAAAGAGTTAGGTAGTACCAATTTGTTGCCACAGACATACTCTAATGTCTTAACTAGATACCTTTAGACAGACATCTCAAGGTATGATAATTTAATTTAGCAATGAGTTAAGGCCAAGAGCACACATAATATAAAAATAAATGGGACCAATTCTATCCTGAATGCAACTCTTCTGATGTTAGCAAGATTACATTGGATTTGTTTGAGCCAAAATTTAGAAAGAATACGATTTAAATTATTTAAATATCTGACAACATTCCGTCAACTACAGGTATGTATTCATTCTGAGCAGCACAGTAAGTGTGTAAAAATATAAAGCTTTGTTTTTAAAATATAAAAGCTGCATTTGCAAAAGTGACACAACAGAAAGTGATTGGTATAATTAATTTATGTATTCAAAGATAAAAATGTTGAAAGATGAAATGTTGAATTAGTAAATACAGAATAGGTGGTCTGGCTCTCCTGGAGGGTAAATTACTACTGCATGTCAGTGGAAGAATCCATTTTATAAATATTTTAAATTTATCTATTTATTAATTTTAACATAACTATCCCATGCTCCAGTTGCTTATACAAAGCATTAAAACATATAATATTAAAATTAATATCAAAAGTATTAATTAAAACCAATATCAAAACTGGTTGAAAGAGTTTTTGACAGAACTTTTGTCCATCTACAACTATGTATTTTGTAATAAGACATTGTTTTTAATGAAATTTCATGAAAAAGGTTTCTTCGGAGAGCATTTTTTATCAAAACAAGAAAAAAAGGAGACCTGAATTCAAATGAAAACTTTTCATCTCAGATGACGCTTAATCATAAATGACAGGTATCTGAATCAGGAGCTAGTCATCATGTGATAGTCTCCTAACCAAGCTACAAAGTCTCGTTCTCTCTCCTGTTCTATCTCTCTCTTCCCCACATTTCCATTCCACAGGTCTCTAAACATTTTGATTCTTATTAAGAACAAAAACAAATCCTGAAAATGCAGAATGTTTAACAAGACAGAGTTCTTGTTATTCAGCCGCCCCTATAAACATACGTTAAACATTCCCCATGGAAGAAGCACCCAAATTTCCAATGGTAAACTGCCCATGAAATCAAGCCATTGTAAAATATATACTTACCCTCACACAGTCCCTCCAAGTCCATCCCTTTAGGACACCTCAAGGACATATTAAAATATGAGATCAATATGGGTCACCAAATCCAGGCTCTGAACTCTATACAGGGTGCACCTACATGTTCAATTAGTGCAGCACGGTAAACTCCAGCACAGTTTGCACCAGAGTTAATGGCTCCCGGGTGCAGCATCTACACATGCACTCAGGATTGCAGCAGTTTGAGCTGAGGCAGAGCAGTCTGGGCTGGCAGCAGGTTCCAGGGTCATCCCTGGGGCCAGTTTGCAGCAGCTGGTAGTAGAGGGGCTTGCTGGGGCACAAGAGTGCCCAAAAAGTAGAGTCATGTGGCTAGGCAGCAGGCAGGGTTCCGGCCTCCTGCTGCTTGGGCTAAGCGGGCATAATTTATGCCCAGCTCAGCATTTGCACATGTTATTTAGGTGTACTTATTTTTGCCACCATAAGATAGTACTGTCCCCAATGGTACTATCTTAGGGAAGCAGAAATTAGTTTGCTGCGGTTTAATAGTGTCACACGTATAGACTGTGACACTTCACACTGCAGTAAATGAGTCTACTGCGCAGTTAGGTGCATGTGTAGATGCACCCATTATCATGAAAAATGTCTTTCCATCAGCACCTTTTTAAACTAAGAGACTGTTGGTTAAAGTAGCTCTACTGATCACAAGGTTAGCAGTATCAAATCAGAACACCACGTACACACTTCCCAAACCATGTAGGCTTTCTATGTCAACAGATTAAACTCCACCTGGAAATTAATCACATTGCTGAGTGTAATATCTGAGGGTTATTTATATTTTATATATCAGCTAAACATTCTGAATGTTTCTAAGAGATAGTCACATGAACACAGCACATCGCAGTAGTTTAATTCTAACGTGACCAAATTTGTGAGGTCCACATGCTAAAGAAAAGGTGGCACCCTTTTTACTGAGCTTTAAAGAATAATATTAATTGTAATTAGTACCCATGCATCTAGCAGCAGCCTAGTATCTAACATATTCCCATAACTGTGACTCTCAGCTGGGTAGTCCCTATCAAAGTGGCCTATATAGTCTTCCCTATTGTTCCAGCTGCTGATTACAGCTTTAAAAGAAGAAAATATTCCAAGTGGTATATGTAAATGATGTAAATGAAATGTTATGTAAATGAAAATGATGGTTTAACTTAATGCAAGTAAATTCATTATGTTCATCCATACTGTTCCACGTCATCAATATGTACTCAAAACCCTGATAGGTAAAGCATACCTAACATACTATTTATATGTGCAAATATCATGGCATTACCGAGAAATTTTTTTTGTCAAGATCATCTTTGTAGGTGACCATTTTCAATGCTAAAACAAAGGCACTGATGATCAGTTACTACCAAGAGTTTCTTTTATATATTGGAAGTTTCATTCCATTTTCACCCCTAGAGGTCAGAATTGAGCTACCTTGTTGGAGCAATCTTGTTCCACTCCTGCCTTCAAGTAACTGTGCTGCAAACAGGTAACTTCTGTTTTTCAGGGCCATCAATCTGAATATTCAATCCATTTGGTTTCTGAAAATTAAAAACAAAATAATACATAATTTTAATCAGAAAAATAATAAACAAAGATGTTATTTGACTTTATAATGGAGGTCAACATTTAAAAAAATAAAAATCTAATTTCAATAGTTTTCTATTATAAAATAATCAGTCTAATGTTGCTGCTGTTTTGACTACTTTGACCAAATATTGTCAAAGCTAATAATTGCATTCCCTTTTCAATATGTGATTTAACATACTTGTCACAGGAGAGAGTTTACTAAAAGATCTCAAAAGAAATCCCACCCTAAAAGAATAACCAAGAAACTCTTGTGCCAAGCTCAGAAGGGAAGGGAAGGGAAAATATTCTCACCAGCCAAATTTGCTTCCATCAGTCATGCTCTTTATACACTGCATTACTAATATCAACCACCTATGTTTCACTATCAAATATTAATTTATCTAAGAAGTGGGGGAACTCCGGTATTTTTAATAAATCATCCATTTTTATGAAAAAAGAATATTTATTTTCAGTTTCAACTGAATCTGAAGCAGGTAAACTAAATCAACTGAAACAATTTAAGCAGGACATCACAGATGTATGTGCGGATTTTCCTTCTCCTTTTTGTTGAATATTAAAACTAGCAAATTCATATCTTAAATATTATTGAAAGCTGAAAGCTAACTGAAGAAAAAGTTGTAAAAGAAACTGTTGCTGTTTGCAAAACATTTTAAATATGAGAATTTACCACCTTTGGCTTTCACTTGTGGAGAAAGATTTACATCTGGGAAAAGGATATGCTGAAAATGAAGAAAGTGATTTGTCTTTGCACATTTTTCTTAAATATATCAGTTCAATGTAGACAAACAGCTTAAAATAGTTATTAATAAACCCACTGCAAGATAAATAAACCCACGAGATACTGAACCTTTAAGGATCAAGGGATAAATAGGATTTTTTCTTGATTTAAGGAGACGAGAATAGCATCTATCTTCAGTCAGAGAGATGAAGTTTACTAAAGTATGACAGCAGTCAAGGATGGATTCCTTTTTGTTGTAAATGCTACTGCTTTCTTTGCAGGTGGAAAACAAGTGACATCAAGTCTTCTTTCTACAAGTCTCCACACTGAAACACACTTCTGTGTGTTTGTCCTGCAGTTTCCTTAGAGCTCCAGAACAGAGCACAGGCTGGAGCAGAGAGAGCAAGTGCTCTTCTGGCTGGAGGGCTTGTGAAGAACAGAAACGTGTTAAAAATCTAAGTGTAAAACTGTGTGTCAATTATTAGCACCTTTTAGTCGGAAAGCCTACCCCAAACTTGCTGCCCAGGACAATGTGCTTTTAGTCCTTCTCTCTGGGATGCCCAATGTAAAGGTGTAGAGGGGCCAAAAGGACTTCAGGGGCCGAAGAGTGTGAATGCTGGATGTCCCTGCTTAGCGATCACTTGGGTGGGTTTTTTACCTCTCCCTTGTTTCATCGCATCAGTCACCGCGGACACACGCGAGTCCCGCGTTACAGCCCAGGAACCGAGGTGCTGCCTTAACGCCAAGGCGGCTCCCCTTCCTTCCCACAGCCGCCCCGGGGATAGGTGTCCTTCTGAGGTAGCCCCGTGTGGCCGGCCCGGGGCGCACGAGGCCCCTCGCCTGCCCCCACGTTGCCCCGGGGAGCGTCCCCGGCTGCGGGCCGGCTCGGGACCACCAGTTGCTCCTGCGCCGCGGCCCGCGCCGGAGGGAGCAAAGTTTCAGGCCGTGCGCGCCCTCGGGGTCGCCACGGCTGTCCTTGCCGGGCTCCCGCAGGAAGCGCGCGGTGGCTGTGCGGGCCCTCGGGGGACCCGCCT